ATTCTTCCAAAAACGGGGGTGGGGTAGGGTGCGGAGGGAAGACTACTGAACAGCTGACTGGGCAGACAAATGAAGAATAATCAGGTAGAACAAAAACTAACAGACTCTGTTGAAAGTTCGGGTATGGTCAGAAAATTAAGGTAGCACAAGAGAAAATGCTGGAAATTGGCACTAAGACATTCTTCCATACATTCTTCTTTTACAGTTTGTTTATTTTGGCTGTGCTGGATCTTCATTATTATGCAGGCTTTCTCTACTGGAGGCGAGTGGCTGTCAGACAGCAAGTTGTGGCACTCGGGCTTCTTATTGCGGCGGCTTCTCTTATTGCGGTGGCTTGTCTTATTGAGGAGCAGGGGCTCAGAGCGCGCGGGTTTCAGTAGCTGCGGTACGTGGCTCAATAGTTGCAGCTTGGGGCTTAGCTGCCCCACAGCATGTGGGATCTTCTAGGACCAGGGATCAAACAAGCATTGGCAGGCAGATTCTTAACCACTGGACCAACACGTAAGTCTCAGTACATTCTTTTACCTCTATGTCCCATACAAAACAAGACATAACTTTAAAACTTGTCAACACACCATTTTCTCTCTCCCCTCTCATAGCACTGGCACTTCCCCATGGCCTAGAAGATTTTGGTCTAAAAATTGCCCCTAAAATCTTATGCTAAGCATCCATCATGTTACTGTTAGAACCGTTTTGGCATTGTCTGCATTATTCTTAGGTTTCAAATCTTCATCTGTGCATGTACTCATTCCAGATTCTGAGCATTATCTTCGTAGCTTTGCGATTCTGATGCAGTTTCCATTTCATCCTCCTTTTTCAGTTGTTGCATTTTCATGTTTAAATCCAGCAGAGTTCTGGCCAGCTGACGATTCTGGAAACGCATTTCCAGCTGAAAGTTAGAAAAAGAATAAGGGTTTTTGTTAGCCTGAGGTATGGATCAAATGAACCTGCTCTCTGCACAGGAAAAATATAAGGATTTTGTAGGAAAGGAAAAAAAGACATCAAGAAAGATGTATTTCTCATCTTATTCTCCAGTTCTGACTATTTGGCCTGACTATAAAACTGACTTTCTATATGACAAGGTAAAATCCAGATATACAAATAGTTTTCAAAATGGCCTTGCAATGAAAACAAAAACAGCTGATGCACAGAGCTCTCCATTTGAAAAATTCCTGTCCTTGGAAGGCTGTTTCCAAGCAATGGCATGTGATCTGCGAGGAAATCACTTATCTTTATGAGCTTTCTGAGCTCCAGGATAACTGCCCAGGGCCACCTGAGCTTTCAGGACCTGGGCCCATTTACTTGATTACTTGTCATTTCAAGTTCTTAGGATTTTAAACGGTCTCCCTGTTGAGCAAAACATTTAATGACCCCTTAGAGGCACATGTACAGTTATGTGTACTTATAGAATCTAATAATTTTCACTCTAGAGTGAAATCTGTTGTAGAGCAAGGTTGATTTATAACCTCCCTCCAATGGGAGTTTGTGAAGGTCCTTGTGTATTAAAAAGAAAAAATAGATCTTTCGGGCAGTGTACCTAAGAGGCAGTCCAGCATAATCTTTGCATTATAGTTGAAAACTAGTAACCAACTCTGCATATTTCTTCAGTTAGGGTCTTGTTTAATGCAGTTCAGGAGAACCCTGTTCTCTCTGCTGAAAACCCAGCATCAACTCCCCATCAGAAACCACCCAAGGGTGACCCAGGACATCCCATTGGTAAAAAGAAAACATGGGTGGTCCCCTCATAATTTGCAAAATAAAATCATTGGATATAATTTCTTTCCGTTTTCCTCTGACATATTTTTCATTCTTCAGCACTTGGAACCATTTCTCTAATAGCAAGAATTTGCAGAATGAAGTGAATGAACATCCAGGAAACAAACAGTAACAACCCAACCGCCAGCACAAGAAGCCCCTACACCTGGCCTACAGGAAGCGTCAGTTCTCCAGTGGCACAGAGGCCCTATAAACCTGCCCTGCTCTCCCAGCTTTATTTGCTGGCCCCCTCCACTCACACACACAGCCACCCCCAGGGCAGCTGGTCAGAAATCTTGCCTGTCCTGGAATAAACACGTCATACTGAGCCACGTCTTCTGCGCTCTCTGCCCCCTGCCACCCACTTGCTGGTGAGCCCAGCCAAATGCCAGCTCTTCTTAGAAGCCCTCTCTGTCTCACCTTATCTGGGCCTCCACAGCATTCCGTAAAGTCTCTCTCCTAGCACACAGCCTACACTAAACTGGTGATTTTGAGCACAAAGTCTGTTCCTATCCTTAATGGTATCCTTAACTGCGGGTACACTGCCTGCGCACACAACATGTTGGGTTCTCTGTGTATTTGTTAAAAAACTGAGTGAAGGAATGAATAAGTGGATGAATTGATGAATACCCATCCTGTACTTTCATGCCAAGAATCAGTTAAATTATTAATAATGGCTTACCATCTAAGTTGTTTTTTTTTTTTAATAGTACATGTAACTCATAATTCTTTAGGAAGTCTGAACACCAATAGTTTCTTAATTTTCTCTCCTCATGGATCCTATTGAGGATCTATTAACTCACTCTGGGGAAAGATGTGCATTTTATGTGTACACAAAGCTTGGCATACAATGTGAAATATATAGAACCCCTGAAATTCACTCACAGACTCCCAGAACTCAACGCATCCCATTAAGAAGACCAATTCAAACAACAAGTAATAGCATAAATGACATCTCAAAAATAGCAACATGAAAATAAATGAAAACAAAAATAGCAACATGTCTGTAAATTAACTGAACCTGTTCATCATTGTTGCTTACACAAATACCACCTTAACAAATGAGATGTGGATATACACGTATGGATGGGTGTCAATTCCTATAGAAATCTGGCTAAGAGACCATTATCAGAAATGACTTGTTCTAGTGGTGATAGTGTTAAGGATCCACACTCTTTTGCTTCTTCATGACTGGTCACATACAATGGTGAGATGGCTGGCCAAGACAATGACTATGGTCTGTGTCTCGGGAACGCAGCATCTGTGTGACAATCTCTGCCTCTTTCCAGCAAAACCCTTGATCTCTCATGCCTATGTATCTGCCACTCCGGGGGCACAACCAAAAAACAATAAAAGTCACTGAATAGTGTCTATATTCTAGGCACTTCATGTAACATTATCTCACATAATACTTATAGCCATCCTATGGGTTTATTATCTCCATTTTACAGATGAAACCTAAACTTGCTAATTAGCATTCCTAAGGTAACAGGAACAATAACAGCAAAGACTGTAAATATTAATGCTGGGCTGTGAACCCTCACCTGTTTGAAATTTTATTCTCTACTTTCTCCCCACCCTGGTACATTACTTGCTTAAAACTCCTTCTGGTGGAGTGACTAGTTAGAATGCTAAAGTTCAAGTGTCTTGGAGCTTCTTGAATATACTTTCTTCACCTGATTTAAATATCAGTCAACTGAGGTGTGAGGGGGTGACATCCCAGGTCAGCAGCAGAGGGGTGGCTCAGCCATCCCGTTGGCATCCTGACCCACAGCACACCCCTCCAGGCCATCTCTTCTAATAAGGGGTCTCGCCCACCCACTGCTCAGCTGTCAGAAGAAAATCGTATGTTTCTTTGATATGGCTGGGTCAAAATTAATACATTCTTTGTCAAATTCAAATTGTTAACACAGGTACAATTAAATGAAAACTAAATGTACTACTTTCTTGCCCTTCTTAAAGACAGAAACAAGGTAAACTTTTAAGGTTCAGACAATTAACTGATGGTTGAATCCGTTCTAAAGTAGGTAATACTTACTATTTTATTAGTATGCAGTGCAAGAGAGTATAACTTTCCAAATCTCCACTATGCATATTCATGGTGATGGTGGTTTAGTCGGTAAGTCGTGCCCAACTCTTGGGACCCCCATGGACTGTGCAGCCTACCAGGCTCCTCTGTCTATGGGATTTCTCAGGTAAGAATACTGGAGTGGGTTGCCATTCCCATCTCTAGGGGATTTTCCCAACCCAGGGATTGAGCCGGGTCTCTTGCATTGCAGCTGTATTCTTTACCGCTGAACCACCAGGAATTCCCACGCATAATCATAGGTAGCACCATTTTAAAGCTTAAATTGCTCTTATTTCAAATTTTGCCTAACTCGAAAATGGTTTAAATTACAAAACAGTAACTAACCTATTTACCTACAGTTCTCCTGCCTAATGTTAAAGAGCTACAATTTTACAAAATTCCTTATTGCCATTTCCTGTTTTCTGAATTCTTACCAAGGAGAAAGGTAATAGTAAAACTTGCAGAATAAAAGAAACATTTACTAATGGAATCGCTCCACCCATCCCCTGAGTTTATTTCATTGAAACTTCCGCCCCAGCCCCATTCAAGCGCATATACTGCAAGCGCCCTAGAGGGAACTTTCTATTTGGTGGGAAAAAAATAGAGAGCAAGCTGAGGAGGAGTGGTTACGGGGGACTTAGGTGTGTCACCAGTAGACTCAGCCCTCGCCGGAGACAGCCAGCCAGCACCTCGGCTCTGCAGGGCCGGCTCCCTCCCAATGCTGCCTAGGAGGCAGTAGCATCAGCGCCGTCGGGGACCCAGTTGGCCCGCGCTGCACGGCCTCACCGTCTCGCCGGAAAAAGCTGCCCTCGGTTTCCCCAGTCCTCGGTGGGGCACGTGCGCGGCCTACAGCCGAGGGCCCCGGGCGAGGACCAAGGCGAGGTGGCCCCGAGAGCCCGCCGCGGGCACGCTCACCAGCTCGGCGCGCAGCCCGGCCAGGGCGCTCTCCACGCGCGCCCGGCTCTGCGCCTCCCGCGCCGCCGCCTCTTCCCGCAAAAGCCTGGAGCTGCCGCGCAGCACCGCCCGCTGGAAGGCGCGCACCAGCCGCCGCTTGAGCTCTTCCAGCCGCGGACCGGCGGCCTGGGCCTCCTCCGGGCCGTCCACGCCCCTGCCGCCTTCGAGGAAGCCTCGTGAGGGACGCAGGGCGGAGGACCGGAGCCCGGCCGCGTGGAGGATGCTGTGGGGCCCCCGGGAGGGCCCTTCTCTGCGGCGGCCGGAGTCCTCTATGCCCATCTCGGAGGTGCCGGCTCCCAGGCTCCAGAGCTTGTATGGCTAAGGGTTTCTTTCCAAGTGTGAGAATTAAGGCGGGTGAAGGCGGGGGCGGGGAAACTCGTGGAACCCGCGGGACCCCTGCCAAGTGGGACGGGGCTATCGCTTGCTACTCGGAGGCGCTCCACTCCTACAGCCTCACGCCTGTCCTTCTTTCCCCCTTAGCAACAAACGAAGAAAGTAATTCCCATGACTCCGGGAAGAGTTTTCAACTGGATCCCTTTTTCTCGCTCCTTGAGTGTCATTCCAAGGAGAGACTGAGTCCATCCAGGTAGCTGGAAGTGAGGTCCGGATGCAACATTAGAGACCCGGGTTGCCTTGATTGTTTACTATTTCAGAAGCCCTTTAAAATATTTTTCTCTGGCTTTCTACTGACGGCTAGGCATTGTGACAGGTGTTGAGGATATAAAGTTTAATTAGACCCCTTAGCCATCCCAGACATTGCTAAGAGTCTAGTGGGAGAAGCTTCGCCCTGTTTGCAAATTAGAATAATCTTTCCACAATTCTAAGCTTGTGGGAACCCACACGGCTTCCCTGGTGACTAAGCTGGTAAAGAACCCCTGCCAGTGCAGGAGAGGCAGGTTTGATCCCTGGGTCAGGAAGATCCCCTGGAGTAGGAAATGGCAACCCATTCCAGTATTCTTGCCTGGAAAATTTCAGGGACAGATGACCCTCGCAGGCTGCAGGCCATGGGGTCACAAAGAGTCGGACACAACTGAGTACACACACACTTGTTTCCACAAGCCCAACAATGTAGGAGACACTTAGTTTCTGAAACTCCATGTTCTCTTCTGTACTTAAGACCATTCTGCCACTTTCACATTATGAAGAGGTTAAAATGAAAAGTAAGCCTGGAGTGATGCCGTCCATGGGGTCGGAAAGAATTGGATACAACTGAGCGACTGAACAATGGCAAAGTCCTTTACTCCAAAGTGTTATTTTCTAAATCCCAATTCAGTGTAATCCTGTGCCAATATTACTTGTATATCCTTTATCAGTGAACATAATCAGCTGCCTCTTTGGGGTCTAATGAATTTCTAAAAAGGAATAAACAGTTAAAAGTTTTATGTGATCATAGAACGCAAATACCTCCCCCCACCCCACACACACACAAAGGGCAGAAATATCTGTGTAGCACTCTCAGAATTAATCATTTGTTTAATTAAGATTTACAGGTTACCCACAATTCCCACAAACTGTTCCAAGTTCGTGATTGGCATTGAGGGCAGTAAGAGCTAATTGCTATTAGTATTTACTGTGTGTCAGGCCCTTTTCATAGATCAACCCATTTTATCTTCACAGTAACCCTGTGAGAAAGGTGCTGTTAGTTTCTGTTTCACAGGTGAGAAAACTAAGGCACTTGTTAAGCTGTAAGTCTTCCCAGGTGGTACTAGTGGTAAAGAACCTGCCTGCCAATGCAGATATAAGAGACACGTTTTCGATCCCTGAGTCAGGAAGATTCCCTGGAGGAGGGCCCTGAAAACCACTCCAGTATTCTTGCCTGGAGAATCCCATGGACAGAGGAGCCTGGGCTGTGGTCCGTAGGGTTGCAAAGAGTCAGACACAACTGAATTGACTTAGTAAGGCAAAGATCACCAAACTGCTAAGTGGTAGGCTGGGAATTGACCTGGAAAAGTCTAGCTTGTATTCTAAGCCACTGAGACACACCTTGGATACACACTACTTCCGAAAGAGGAAAGACATTGTTCAGTTTACATGTTGCATGACTGAGTGTGCAGATTCCCTCTGCTCATAAAATTCAACTCTACAGAAATGGATTAAGGCTATAATTGAATAAAGTGGAATGCAGGTTACTGCTTCTGCAGATAATCTGCCAATTTCAACATGTTTCAGTAGTTTACAACCTGAACAGCCATACATCTATCATTGTATATTGTTCTATCAAGATTCTCTAGAAATGTTTGAAGATGTGTTCTCTTGGTGGAAATTATGAACATTCATATGGTCTACTATGAACCAACTGAATATAAATTTAGAGATTTAGGGGTTTCTTTATTTTTGTGTGGCTTTTATTGCATATATGTGATATGTGTTGAGGCTTAAAAACCAGCACCCGTCAATGTGCAGTATAAATGTTTAAAATTAGTTTTCTGCCATGATTTTCCACTTCTGCTTCTAGATCATTTTCTTCAACAAGGATTTTAGCCAAGTTTGATTTAATTCAACAAACAGTGAATGGAGCATGTTCAGTTAAGCATTGTTTCATATGGGATAAAAAAGGGAATAATGCACAGTTTTTGTCCTCTAGAAGCTTAAAACCTGAAGGAACAAACTCATTCATTTATTCATCAGCAATATTTATTTAATATCTGATTATATACCAAGTATTAGAGTGTTCAAGCCTGAAAGTAAACCACTAAGACAAAATTGTGTTTTAGAAGGATAGTTTTACCACAAATTAATAATTTTCTCCATAGATAGAAATTTTTCAGTTGTGCATTTTGGTGCATTTTAATGTTGAATTTTACAGTATTTTTTATATAAATAAGGTGAATTAAAGCATTGATAAATCAGAGTGAATATAGCATGCAGAGACATTTGAGTTAGGAGATGGATTAGTTATTCATTGCTGCATAACAAATTATCCTAAAATATAGTGGCTAACGACAACAATAAACATCATGTCTCATGGTTTCCATGGGCAAGAATTTGGGAACAGCTTAGATAATGATCTGGGACTTTCATGACATTGCAGTCAAATGCCAGCCCAAACTATAGTCATCTAAAGTTGGGTGTGATTGGAGCTATAGGGACCACATACAAGGTGGATCATTCACATAGCTGGCAGTTGGTGCTGGTGTTTGGTGGAAAGCCTCAGTTACTCTCTTTAAAAAAAAAAAAAATCATTTATTTTTGGCTGTGCTAGGTGTTTGTTGGAATTCCCTTACTTTCTCTGTGATCCAATGAATGTTGGCAATTTGGTCTCTGGTTCTGCCTTTTCTAAACCCAGCTTGTACAACTGTAAGTTCTCGGTTCATATACTGCTGAAACCTAGCTTGAAGGATTTTGAGCATAACTTTACTAGCATGAGAAATGTAGGCACTGTGTGAAATTTTGTTAGATGAATGAAAAGAAGGGAGAGAGAGAAACAGAGGGCATCAGAACAAAGAGAAGGATGAAGGGGAGAGAAATAAGGCAGAAGAAGTTGAGTAGACCAAGCAGAGAGCCAAGACAAATGTGAAGTAATCATGTCAGTTTATGAGATTCTCCAGAGTGACTCCAAATTGATAAATTGGGCCTGCTTAAAAATAGCACAGCATCCTCTGATGAAAAGAAAAATAACTCCTGTCCTTGTAGCATATATTTCTTCAGTGCATTTGTGCAATATGGATTGCATGATGCAGTGACAGGTCGTGACAGCAATCCCAAGTCTATCCAGCTGACAGTGCCTGAACCTGGCAGTCTCAGCGAACTTTTTGAAACCATGTGATGTCTGGAATCATGTTGTCTATATGTCTATTTCTCCTTTAGTTTCTTAAGGACTGTATCTCTGTCTTCATCACCTTTTCATCATCTTCAGAAACAAGCACAATGCTAGCATGAAACAAACACTTAAATATTGGTTAAGTGAGTTAGTAAATTGATTAATACCGCAAGGCAGAAAGCAATTAACATCCATAGAGCACCTCTTAAGTAGTATATAGATATGGACACAGGTACAGATGCAGATATAGTTTTAGATATACACACATAAATATAGACACAGATATAAATAGTAGACAGTTTACTTAATCTTCACAAAAATCCCATGTTAGGTTTGTTTTGGTCTATTTTTTTGTATGGGAACCTGGAGTTCAAAGAAAGTAAGAGACTTGCTTAAGGTCATATAGTAGACAAAGAAATGGCTGAGGTAAGATTTGATACCAGATCTATGTGTCTCCAAGGGTTTTGCTCTTTTCTTTATTCCATATCAGGCAATATACAGTTATAGAATCATTTAAAATCTGCTAAAGAAGGTTAGAACTTTGAATTTCTTTTATTCCAATTACCTAAACCAATTCTTCCCTAGCCTAAGTGCCATCCTGCTTCCTCCCTTGTGTTTAGTAAGGCCACCTTCTCTCAGCCCTTTTGAACAGCAGAAGGAGGTTGAATGCACATGTGTGTGTGTGTGCGCGTGCGCTCAGTCGTGTCCGACTCTTCATGACCCCGTGGACTGTAGCCCGCCAGGCTTCTCTGTCCATAGGATTCTCCAGGTGACAATTCTGGAGTGGGTTGCCATTTCCTTCTCCAGGGGATCATCCCAACCCAGGGATCGAACCTGTATCTGTTAGGTCCCCCTGCATTGGCAGGCAGATTCTTTACCACTAATGCCACCTGGGAAACCCTGAATGCATATGTCATCCTCCTATGTATGAACAGCAACAAAATAAAAGTCAGAAATTCCTTATGCAAATTTTAGTCTCCTTTCTAAATCCTTTTACGTAAATTCACCAGTTAATATCCACCTTTGTTGCAGCTCATTTCTACTTTTTTCCCCTGCCTATTTGCTGTTCCCTGGGAAACCTGGATCCCAGTTCTTTTATGTGTTCTTTATCTGTACCTTGAAAACCTTTAGCTCTAATTTCACTTCTTCACTTCATCTTCAACCATCCCCTCTGAACAATTCTTCTTTTTTTTTTTTAACAAATATTCTTTTAAGCAGCGGGTTCTCTGTGTTCCCACTGCAAACAGAATGTCCTCAAGTGTTCTGTGCAGAAAAGGAACAAATATTTCTCTTATCAAGTGTTCTCAAATATTTTTCTATCAAGTGTTCTGTGCAAAAAAGAAACATATTTTCTAGGCTTCAGAGAAAGATTTTCCTTGTAAGCCTTAAATATTTTGTAATTTATTTCAGTGAACAGATTAGTGATTTGAATCACTTGAGAGCCTGTGGGGAACGTGATCATTCTGTTTCCTGGCTAACTAATGGTTGGCAAAAATTTCTTTTTGGTTGTGGAATTTCTGGAATGTAGTCACTGTCTTTCTTGCTTAATTTGCCAGAACCCTGGGGTCAAAATGTTGGCTTCAGATCCCAGCTTCACCCCTTGCTGGCCATTTGACTTTGTGTAAGCTCTCTGGGTCAATTTGTTCACAAGTAAAAAGAAAACAATCTTTTCCTCTTCACTCAGTTACTAAGTAGATTAACTAAAGCACACAGGAGCGCACTGAACCATTCATGCCCTATGGCCCTTCGTATATGTTATCCATTCTTCTCACATGAGGAATGTGATGGGGTTCTTGATGTAGAGACATGTTTCTGAACATTACATCAGCGAAAATCAGTGCCATGAATCTAAAAGATACAAGAGAATTGGTAGGATTGCAAGGGAAGCTGTCGAGTCTGAACTACAAAAGTGATTTCAGCTTGGACACAGACCATTCTAATGGGTTGGATGACCATTTTAATTTGTCAGTGATCACATGGCATCAGTAGAATCATCTGATTCACATCTTCTAAGTGTGTTTGGTGAGTTGTTTTATTGCTCACAGTATTCTCTGCTTCTTGCAATGGAAAGATTGTATTTCTACACTACAGTGACTTCAGGCTTGGCCATAGGACTAGCTTCAGCCAATGAACTGTGAACAGATGGGGCACTTGTGATGTGCCAGCGAAATCTGTAGATGGTGTCACACAGTCAACCCTCTTCTGTTTTCCAGCACTGTCCCTGGGCAGGCAACTCCTCACCCTGAGTCGCAGAAAAAAGATAATCATGAACTAGAGGGGAAGCTGGCCTATTGTGGCTATACAGTTTGAGTGAGAACTAAACAAATGTAGAAATCCAAGAAGATGAGTGTATTTTCTGTTTTGAAAGCCTTGATATCTGATTATCCTTTTGTTTTATTTCCTTTTTCTAAAAGTAGAGTGCAGATGTAAGCATCCAGAGGACTGGGAGTTTTGGTAAATTGAAATTTGACTGAATCATTTCTGAGCAGAGATGTACAGAAGCATACTTGCCTCAAACAGGAAAAAGCTAGTTGTTGGGAGGTACAAAAAATTTCTAGTAACTGTTCAAAAACACTTCCTGTTTTATTAGGTTAAATGAGTTATGGGTTATGTGTGAAATATAGATAACAGTAACTTTTTTATTGACAGAGAGTATATAGAAGCAGATATACAAGACACTGTAATTTTAGACTGTCACTTTATAGTCTGAGTAGAGCATCACAGCTTCATTTCCACACCACATATAAAAGGGGTATGTTATTTTAATATAGTTTTGCCTATTCATCTTGTCTTCAGGCTGTGTTTCTTGAAGACATTTCAATTACAGCCTTCTTTGAAGATTCAACTAAACATGACACCAGAAAAATACAGAAACTTGAAAACCTGGACTTTTTTCTGCCTTTTATGTATTATGATATTCAAAAGTTTTGAGAAATAGAATAAATGTCATATTTGTCCAACAGCAACTTTGATACCCATTCCAATAGATATATTTTTACATAAGATACATGACTTAACTATTTTCTTTGGTAATTTCAGTTCTCAGAATAAGTTATAAATACCCAGGAAGTACTCAAGAAGCAAAATCTGCTGGAAAATATTATTACCTTCTTTTAAGATTGAACTTTGCAGTGAAAGTTAAATGTTACTCAATCAACCCCCATGTTCGTTGGACCATATTTAGTGCAGTGTGCCTCCCAGATGGCTGAGGGGTAAAAGAGTCCGCCTGCCAATGCAGAAGACACAGGAGATACCAGTTCAATTCCGGGGTCGGGAAGATCCCCTGGAGGAGCAAATGGCAACCCACTCCAGTATTCTTGCTTGGAGAATCCCATAGACAGGAAGGAACTTGATGGGCTACAGTCCATGGGGTCACCAAGAGTCAGACACGATTGAGCAACTGAGCACACGCAGAAAACCCTGTTCAAAGAATGCCCAAGCAGAAGAAACATGCTAGCAAATGCCTTCTTTTTGTGACTGATGACACAGATTTAAATTGAAGCGCTGGTAATTGTCAGAAACATTTTTAGTATTTGGGGGTGTGCACGCCTGGTGCTAAGTCACTTCAGTCGTGTCCGACTCTTTGCAACCCACTGGACTACAGCCTACCAGGCTCCTCTGTCCATGGGATTTTCCAGGCAAGAATACTGGAGTGGGTTGCCCTGCCGTCCTCCAGGGGATCTTCCTGACCTAGGGATTGAACCCAAGTGTCTTATGTCTCCTGCATTGGTAGGCAGGTTCTTTACCACTAGTGCCACACTGGCGCCTGGAAATGGGATGTCACTTCTTAGATTGTGTTCATGGTCAGTTGCTTCAGTCGTGTCCGACTCTTCGCCACCCTATGGACCATAGCCCACCAGGTGCCTCTGTCCATGGGATTCTCCTGGCAGGAATACTGGAGTGGGTTGTCATGCCCTCCTCCGGGGGTCTTCCTGACCCAGGGATCAAACGTATGCCTCCTGCATCTCCTGCATCGCAGGAGGATTCTTTGCCACTGACTGGCCTCTTGAAATGGCATGTCACTTCTTAGATGAGGTTATAGAAAGACTGAGTTTGACCTTGCTGAGTCTTTTGTACTTCCTTGCTTGCCTCTTCTGAAGGACTCGGGTTGCTATGCCAGGAGCTGACCTGTGAGAAGCCACGAAGCAAGGGCTGGAGGACAGCAATGAGCCCTCTGTCCAGCAGTCCATGAGACACTGATACTGACAACCACGTGAGTGAGCCTGAATGAAAATCCTCCCTGAGCCAAGCCTTCAGATGACTGCAGCCCCATCCAGCACCTGACTGCATCCTCAATTGAGACCTTGAGGCAGAAAACCCAGCTGAGTTACACCAGATTCCTGAACACAGAAATCTTGAGATAGTAAGTGTTTGTTATTTTAAACTTGTCCTTTCTTTATGTTGATTTTTCTGTGAATTGCCTCTTCTTATCTTTGAAATTCTTTTTCTATTGCATGATTTGTCTTTATTTATTTTTAATTGCAGTATAAGTGCTTTACCATGTTGTGTTAGTCTCTGCTGTATTACAGCATGAATCAGCTCTAGGTGTACATATATCCCCTCTCTCTGAGACCTCCTTCCCATCCCACCCCATCCCACCCCTCTAGGTTATTACTGAGCACCGAGGTGAGTTCCCTATGCTATATGGCATAAGCTTGCACTGATTTTAAACTGTTTTCTTTTATCTAAAACAAACAAATAGCATTTTATTGAGGTATGATTCACATACAGAAAGCTGTATATAGCTTGAGGTTTTTTGTTGTTGTTCAGTCGCTAAGTTGTGCCGAACTCCTTGCAATCCCTGTAGCAGGCCAGGCTCCTCTGTCCTCTCCCATCTCCCAGAGTTGGCTTAAATTCATGTCCCCCTGAGTCTGTGATGATATCTAACCATCTGATTCTTTGCCGCCCCTTCTCCCTTCGCTGTCAGTCTTCCCCAGCATGAGGGTCTTTTCCAGTAAGTTGGCTCTTTGCATCAGGTGACCAAAGTATTAGAGCTTCAGCAGTAGTCCTTCCAATGACTATTCAGGGTTGATTTCCTCTAAGATTGACTGGTTTGATTTCCTTGCAATCCAAGGGATTCTCAAGAATCTTCACCAGCATAACAGTACCAAAGCATCAATTCTTCAGCTCCCAGCCTTCTTTATGGTCCAACTCTCACATCCATACAATTACTGGAAAAACTAGCTTTGACTATTTGGACCTTTGTCAGCAAAGTGATGTCTTCACTTTTGAATATGCTGTCTACGTTTGTCCTAGCATTCCTTTCATGGAGCAAGCGTCTTTTAATTTCATGGCTGCAGCCACCATCTGCAGTGATTTTGGATCCCAAGAAAAGAAAATCTGTCACTGCTTTCACTTTTTCCCCTTCTGTTTGCCATGAAGTGATGGAACGAGATGCCATAATCTTAGACTTTTTGATGTTGAATATCAAGCCAGGTTTTTCACTCTTCTCTTTCACCTTTATCAAGAGGCTCTGTGGTTCCTCCTCACTTTCTGCCATTTGAGTGGTATCATCTGTCTATCTGAGATGATTGATATTAATATTTTTCCCAGCAGTCTTGATTCCAGCTTGTGATTCATCCAGCCTGGCATTTCGCAAGATGTACTCTGCATATAAGTTAAATAAGCATAGTGACAGTATACAGCCTTGACATATTCCTTTCCCAGTTTTGAACCAGTTGGTTGGTCCATGTTTGATTCTGTTGCTTCTTGACCTACATACAGGTTTCTCAGGAGACAGGTAAGGTGGTCTGGTATTCCCATCTCTTTAAGAAAAATAAAATTCTTAAAGAACAGTTAAAAGGCAAGATGAAATGCGAGATTGGCTACCTGTTGACTCTGTGACCTTGGAGGTGTCACACAGCATGCAGGTCTTCTCCTACAAAGGAAGGTGTGTGAGTTTCCTATGATTGCCAGATCACCACAGACTGTGATTTATCCTCCCACAGTTCTAGAGGCCAGAAGCCCCAAATCAAAGTGTCAGCCCTGCTGGGATCCCTCCAGAATCTAAGGAAAGATTGCTGCTTCTAGCTTCTGGTGGTCACTCGCTATCCTTGGTGTCCCATGGCTTGCTCTGCACTTCTCTAATCCCTGTCTTTTAAACCATGACCCCAAATGAGGCTAGGTCTTAGCTTTTGCCAGCAGTAAGAAAACTGAGCAAAGTACAAAAAAAAAAAAAAAAAAAAAAAAAAAAAAAAAAAAAAAAAAAAAGGAGCCTTGCTTGCTGTTTCCAGTGCCTGGGGGCCCCCTGCTGTCCATAAAAAGACATTGCAGCCTCTCCCCAGGCTAACGGGCGTGTTCGACACTTAACATGCTATTTCCTAAAAACTTCTTTTACCACTTCACATACCAGATCATTACTATCATATGCTTTTATCAACCTCATTCTGGATCAGCCAAGTCCTCTCTCTGGGTTTCCAATTTTTCTTAATGGTACCACCATTATCGAAATCCTCCTGGCCCCAGCTCTCCTTCCTGCTGCTCCTTTTTCAGCAGTATCATTGTCATGTATTAAATTTCTGCTGTATGTCAGGCACTGTGCCAAAATCTTCACATACATTATATATCATTTAATCTCTCAATAACCCTTATAAGGCAGACAATTATGTTCCTTTTCAGTTCAGTTCAGTTCAGTCACTCAGTCGTGTTCAACTCTTTGCGACCCCATGAATCACAGCACCCCAAGCCTCCCTGTCCATCACCAACTCCCGGAGTTTACTCAAACTCATGCCCATCGAGTCAGTGATGCCATCCAGCCATCTCATCCTCTGTCATCCCCTTCTCCTCTTGCCCCCAATCCCTCCCAGCATCAGGGTCTTTTCCAATGAGTCAGTTCTTCTCATGAGGTGGCCAAAGTATTGGAGTTTCTGCTTCAGCATCAGTCCTTCCAATGAACATGCAGGACTGATCTCCTTTAGGTTGGATTGGTTGGATCTCCTTGCAGCCCAAGGTACTCTCAAGAGTCTTCTCCAACACCACAGTTCAAAAGTATCAGTTCTTCGGCGGTCAGCTTTCTTCACATTCCAACTCTCGCATCCATACGTGACCACTGGAAAAACCACAACCTTGACCAGACAGACCTTTGTTGGCAAAGTAATGTCTCTGCTTTTTAATATGCTATCTAGGTTGGTCATAACTTTCCTTCCAAGGAGTAAATGTCTTTTAATTTCCTGGCTGCAGTCACCATCTGCAGTGATTTTGGAGCCCCCAAAAATAAAGTCTGACACTATTTCCACTGTCTCCTCATCTATTTCCCATGAAGTGATGGGACCAGATGCCATGATCTTAGTTTTCTGAATGTTGAGCTTTAAGCCAGCTGTTTCCCTCTCCTCTTTCACTTTCATCAAGAGGCTTTTTAGTTCATCTTCACTTTCTGTCATAAGGGTGGTGTCATCTGCATATCTGAGGTTATTGATATTTTTCCTGACAATCTTGATTCCAGCCTGTGCTTCTTCCAGCCCAGCGTTTCTCATGATGTACTCTAAGTGAAGTGAAATCGCTCAGTCATGTTTGACTCTTTGCGACCCCATGGATGGTAGCCCACCAGGCTTCTCCATCCATGGAATTTTCTAGGCAAGAGTACTGGAGTGGGTTGCCATTTCCTTCTCCAGGGGATCTTCCGCCCCAGGGAACGAACCCGGGTCTGCATATAAGTTAAATAAGCAGGGTGACAATATACAGCCTTGATGTACTCCTTTTCCTATTTGGAACCAGTCTGTTGTTCCATGTCCAGTTCTAACTGTTGCTTCCTGACCTGCATACAGGTTTCTCAAGAGGCAGGTCAGGTGGTCTGGTATTCCCATCTTTAAGAATTTTCCACCGCCAAAGCCTTCGACTGTGTGTTCCTTTTAGGGAAATGAAAACTAAAGCTTAAGATCACTAAGTAACTTGCGTTATAAATATGACAGGGGTCGAAGCTGGAACTTGAACCAGGAATTCTAGCTGCAAAGCTCTTAATGTTCCAAGCCTATTGCTTCCAGCCTGAGTTCTACTGAATAACTAACTTCCACCTGTGATATCATTCACTAGAGGTGTTTTGTGAAGAGTGATATAAAAGCAGGCAGAATAATCATTAGATAAACTAACGTTGTAAAAGAAAATATACATGACATTAATAATAGTTTAGGTTTTGAATTGTTAAATTGTTTTACTAGCAAAATGCATTAATATGTGCATGCCAGTTGACTATATTAATAGATTGAACAATTATTCACTTTGCTAATTTTTAACCTAATATCTTTTAACAGATAATTTCCAGTGAATGGCTAGTACACACACTTGAGCATTTTGATTTTATTTTTAAAATCTCTATAGAATATACATTTCAGTACACATGGGTATGCTAAACTAATTCTCCTCTCTCTATTCCCAAATTACCTTCTCATTCCCATCACATATACCAAGATGGCTCCAGAGTTCAGCATCTAGCCAGAAAGAGGGGATGAGGGGTAGGAAAGAAGGGACCACGTGATGGACAAAGATGGTCCGAGGCTCTCAGTATTGTAAACTCCTTATAACTTTGCTGGCTGTGATAAAAGTTTTGTTTTAGAGGCAGAAACCAACCTGAGAACACCTAATCAATTCTAAGTTGCTCAAATATATTAAAGTGACATGGGTAGTATTGAGTCTAGCTCTTCTGTCTGTGGTGGCCTGTTTTAAAGTACCTTTGGTTAAAATTGTATACCTAACTTTTGTTTTCTTACCAACTGACTCCAAAGAAAGAGGACCTGGATAAAGAGAATGTTAGATGAAGACCCAATACACATGTGAAAACTGTGTATTTGTTTGATGTTTATTGTTGAGAAATACCTTCCTGGTGAATGTGTTATTGGAATGGGGACTGGAAAGTGGGACTGAATGTTCCATAAGTTGGAATTTGACTTTGAAGCTTAGAGTCAAATATCATATCGTCATTTTTTTAGTCAAGAAATACATGAAAAATAGCATGAGCTTTGGTGATTTTACTACTCAATAGTGATACCTATTCATCACTAAAACCACATCTCCTTCCAGAAAGAGGCAACTTATGAAGATTTTTTAGGTTTCCACCGATAATTCTATGAGAAACCTCTGATGGGAGCTCACTGAGTTGTAGGAACATATAGAGAGGGGGAAACTAATGCAGACGGAATGAGGGTCAAGAACTTAGAAAAATTGTGAAGTCAAGGGCAGATGAGTCAGCAGAGCCAGTCATGAAGACTTCTTTTTACCAAGCCAAGAGGGTAACATAAATAACCAACATACAAAAAATGCTTTCATTAGTGATCAGAAACCAACTGTGTTTGCCATTTTTTTTTTTTATTGAAGTGTAGTTGATTTGCAATAGTTCTGGTGTTCAGCAGAGTGATTCAGTTATATGTTTTT